CAGAAGAAAAAAAAGGCAGGAAGAGGGGCCAGGAGAATCTGCAAAAGTTGGCCTTTTTACAGGTTTTTCCATCCCCACCGGCAACGCAGTGCTGTGCTGGGAGACCAGTCCAGCCTCCTTGCCGTATTCAGCCCTGGCCTTCCAAGGGCAACCTAAGTCATAAAAGTGATGTTTCTTTAACACCAAGAATATACAGGCAGCCTTGCTCATACTACGATTTTGCTTTGGTTTTAGCCACAGATGGACTAGCTGTGTTATTGTGCATATTGGGCATATCTAGGTAGGTAAAGTCAGCTGTAACGGGTATGATTTAGCTAATGCAAATGCAACCATCTAAAAATCAGACAGCTAGTCGTAATTAGCTGTCTAAGCATCTTTCACAGCTAACAGAGTAGTGTTTATAGGGGAGGATTCACTCAATCTTTAATACCTGCAGAGCTGTCTCCTGCCGCTGCTAGACCATGAATACCTAGGTAAGCCAGGTGGAGACATCTCAGGTAGCTTCCACCAGAGCAGCATGGAGATATCCCACAAGCACAAAGCATACGCACCAAGAGCCAAAGTGTGCAGCATTTCCCGACGATGTAGGTAATGCTGTGCAATAACATCACCAAAAGTCTACTCTGCGGTTTGGCACTGGTTTAATCACACCAGTGGTGGTCTGCTGAGGGCTGAAGCATGCAGCGTGCACAGGTCTGAGACTGCCTCAACACAGACCGCCCGGCCACGGCTGGACAGAAGCTACTTCCAGATTCGAAGAGGTGACCAGCAGGTGAGGGATTCTGTATTACTGTGCAGAAAAGAATCGCATCTCTGTGCAGCTTTGTCAAGGCAACAAAAGCGTATTTAAAATAGTTTCACTGTTACAGCGTAGTTAATTTATCATCTTGCGCTCAGTGTGCAAGGTTTCACGGCACAGTCAGCAAATTCAAACTTACAGGAAGTAATTCCTCAAAATAATCTACGAAATCAACTAATTGGTGGCTGGATATCCTTTAGCCCTCCATTGATATTTTATTATCACACCTTAAATTAATTATGTAATTAATTGCAGATAAAACCATGGCCGTTTGGAACTGTTTTATTAAAAATCGAATTAAAATGTCATACAACCTCAGACTGTTTTCAAAAAGGACCTTGGAAACTTTTTAATTATCTTTATTCTTTCCTAAAACTAATTAAATAAGTATTCCCTCCTCTCTCAAAGGTGTCACTTCATTTCTTCATGTTCTCCTACCAAGATTAGGTAGGAGAATATTCTTCGGTCAGCACAAGTTTGGAAGCTCCACAGAAGAGTGACTGGGTGGAATCCGTTTGTCTGTTGTACATCCAGCCAGATCTAACAGTGCTTTTGGCCTTAACATCTATAAATATAAAATTTCCCCTTCTCCTTCCCCTCCCTTCTCCAAGCCGGTAGCTAAAAGATGTCAGTTCACACAAGCTAAATGTTGTACATTAATTACTTGTCTTATGTTTACATATGAGCAAAGTAGTTCAATGCTGAATGTTCAGTAATTAAAATATTTCCAGATGTGCTCAGTGATCCTGCTCTGCTTTTACAGCCTGCGGTTGTCATATGTCTTCCTCTGGAGGTTAGATCAGACACATAGGTTAACAATGCTATTTCAAATTGTGTCTTTTCAGCATTTTAGATTTATTTGTCTAGCTGATATGAGTGTTATCCTTATCCATATTTGACATAAATAAGAAATATTTCTGGATGTCAGGGCTGCTGTGACCAGTATCTTGATAACGAAAGCTCTGATCCAGCAGAGCACTTGAAGATGATCTCAACTTTCAACATTTGAATCACTCTCTGTCTACTGACTGAAAACCCTGCAAACGGAATAGCTAATTCCACAGAAAATCTGAAGTATATTATGGAAGTAAAAAAGAGGGGGAAAAAGTTTTAATTTTCCTTTTAAAATTGTACCGATTTTCCTTTTTTTTTTTTTCCTCTCAGGCTATATTATCTGAGTATTTATCATGTTTATGTTCTACATCGTGAAGTGGACAGCCCGGACTCTGTTGACTTCCGAACTTTGCAGCAGAAGCACAAATAATGGCATTTTCAGCCCATAAGTAAAATGTTCTCAGCACCAGAAAAAGTGTAAAGTGAAATTCTCCTCTCCACCCTAGCAATGCCTGAGTGCTCCTGCCCACCCCAGCAGGAAAATTAGCAACCGAGCAAGCAGCAAAGATGATAGAAGAGGTTTCTCATGCAGAGAGATGTGCTGTAAGCAAGGGAACACAGCTGCAAAATTGTTAGGATGAATAAATCTGTGCATAATGCAAAAAAACCTACAAACTCCAAAAGGCTTAGCAACATCTAACAACTTGACAAAGCCTTTTCTTTTCCCGATTGTTTTTGATAGGCCCTAATTAAAGTCCTACCTGGCAACTTTCCGTGAAATCAGAAGAACTTAAGAGAGTCGTCTCTCATGTTTTCAGGCTTCTGAGCCATTCCCCTCCACACACACCTACCTCCGCCCACTCAGGAGATTATATATAACAGTCCAGACAAGATTAAATGCAGTGCTCCTGCAGTTTTATCTGATTTATTAAAAGGAGAGAAGCAACCAAGTGGGAGGAAAATAGGTCAACTGTTCTAGATCCTTACGAAAAGCTAAAAGCATCCCTCTTGATTTTCGACACGCTTTCAAGTGGGTGCCACGTATTTTCAAGATGCGGGAGGGGGTTGAGGCTCAGGGGAGGAATCCCAGGCTACTTGTGGATGCCGATGAGGAAAAGATAAACAATGTTTTTTTTTTTTTCAAACTGAGCCAAACTGTCACAGCCAAGAGACACATCAAAGTTTTTTTTTGACGCTCTTGGCCAAGAGACAAACAGCACATGTATTTGGGAGGGAGATATTTATATCAGCAACCATGTCCATGCCAGGGAGATGAAGCTCCTGCCACCTCAGACTTCTCCATTAAGTTCTGTAAAACACAGGCACGTTCTCCCAGGGAGCATATTCTCCTGGACATAAAAAAGGACATAAGGAACCACTGAACACAAAGAAGCTATTTCCCCCTCATCTGCCTCTCTGGCTTCAGTATGCCTCAGTCCCACCTCTCTGATTCGTCACCATGTCCTTTATTTCAGTTTTTCTCCATAAAAACGTCTACCTGTCTCATTAACTTCTCTTTGCGGTTCGCTTCAGCGGCCTTACTGGTTGTGTTACTCCACGTATTCCCACACACTGGTCCTCGAAGGAGTACGTCCTTTTTCTTCCAGTTGTAGACCTTGCTGAAATCTGTCTGGGCCTCTCCTGCAGGTAACAGTGTCTCCTAATTGACAACTGCTGGAAAGTTGTCAACTGCTGAAGCCTACAAGCAGCTACCGAATGTGTCTTTAGTGAGGGAGAGCAGTCAGTCAGCCAACACCAAGCACAACGCCTGATTGACTATTGCTTCTGTTTGGCTTCTGTGCCTGGGAGAAAGGAGCAATGACACCTCGTGGCTAGAAGCTGAAGTCAGACTAGAAAGAAATTTCGGAGAGAGACAAGAAGTGATTTTCCCAGAGATTGCCTGGGAAATGACCTACCTAGGAATATGCTAGCTTCTCTGTAACTTGAAGTCTTTAATTCGTGCTCGGGTATGTGTTGTAGACTTCAGAGGGGTCACCAGAAGAAGACGCAAAAATGAAATCTTGAGAAAAATTATTCTAATTCCCTTCAGTATACCTTCAGGTCAGGATCAGAGCTAGTCCCTGTAGTTCTGGGTCCATAGGGCAGATGCTCACGCACAGCCTTTTCGCCTACATCTTTTCTCAAGACATAGCGCTCCGCATTCAGCCTCCCCCAGACTCCTGCCCAGCCAAGCATACTTTGCTCCTAGGTTCACTCTTTAGAGGCCAAAATGATTAGCATTACTTTTAAAAAGCACTGGAGATCTACACGCTTCACAAAATAACTGAAGGCTTAAGAGGATGCCTCTCCCTGGGCCAGACTTGTTTAGCATTTCAGAGCTCAAACTGCTTCTGTGCCTTCAGATTAGCCTTTTTGCATGTGGCAAAGGATAAACTTATTTGCAGAGCAGTATGTCCTCTGAAACCTAGTCACAGGTTCATTTTCTTCACATTTTCCCATCAGGGAGCATATCCTTTCCTCCCAGGAAAGTAAGAAGTCCTCAAATTCATAACAGTGATTTTCACTTCAAACAAAATAAGAAAATCAACTTCGGGCTACACTAGCTCTTGTTAATATGAACACAAGCAAAATCCTATGATGGGGGACGACACAGCACTATCAAGTCATCAGACAACAAATCTGAACCTCCTTTCAAACACTGCAGGTTAAACTGATCTCTCAAAATAACTACCTTCTTCACCATAGGCAACCAGCCTTTAATTCAAGAGACAGCACTTTAATCAAACATGCTCTTAACATCTTTTAGATTGGACACATGGCAACACAGGTGTACGTTTCCTATAAATTTGATTTTAGCCCATCAGTATACATTCCTATAAGGAGATTCTGGTCATTATTATGCTCATTCATCAGATTTTCACAAAAAGATTATCTTCTATTTCTTGGGAACAACAGAAAAGAAAATCTTTGCGCTTGGTAATTTGATACCTGTAACAAGCACAAAAAAAAAAAAAAGGGTGATTTAGACTGGCTAAATCCATAGACTCATGCAGCTGCAAAGAGTAATAATCATTGTTCCGTATTTCATTCACAACCTGAGGAAAAATATTTTCTGCCATATTGCTGAGCTAGTGTCACGACCTTATATTGTTATATCAGTGTTTTCTCTGGGATGATCTCTCAGGGATGTGGCAGACCCTCTCTTTGATCAGGGCACTGACTAGGTGACATTATTCTGACCTTGCAATGAATGGGGTGTAAGCATAAAATCCTCAGATAACACAAAACAGATATTTCAGTCCAAAGCTGAATTTATAAATGGAGTTTACAATACCATGTATAAGTAACATAGAAAATGGACTTCATAACTTGACACAGATATATTCTGGCTTGTCACATGGAAATCTTTCTAAGACATGTACTACAAACTCAAGCAAAAATTATAAACTTGATACAGAAATTAATGGCTGATGTTCTTTGCCCTTTGTTATGCAGAAGGTGGGACAATATAATCATAGTGGTGTCTTTAAAATCTATAAATACACAGCTCCCATTGTGATTAAATCGTCACACACCTCTGCGAGAAAAGGGAATTATTGTCTCCCTTTTAGAGAGGAGGGGAATTAGGCACAGCTTTAAACCACTCATAATTGTCTTCTCCACCTATGGGTTCATTATGGCTCACTGTGTGGAAAAACTCTGCTGTGTGAGTAATTCAGGAAAATGACCATGACTCATTTTAAACCTGTCCCCATGACGAAATAGCCCAGAATGTGTAGTTTTTGATGTGCCCTTGTGAAACCCTTTGAGATGTCAGTGGGAAAGCTCCAGAGATGGGGATGAAAGGATAGGCACAGCCCTAGGGTTTTTCCCGGGGTCTGGGAGAAAGCAAGGGGATGGTTCTGCCACGGACCATCCAGGGTGCTTCATACGTGTAGAAGACGGGCTCTCTCCAGAGCCAGGAAGATCCTGGGAGTGGTAGCCCCCAGCTTACAAGTTTTGGAGGCCTCCAGCCCAAGGCACGCTGAGAAGAGAGGACTGAATAGAAGGAGCTACCTCTTGTCACAAGAGGAACTGCAGAGGGATTTTGTGCTTCAAGCAGCCACTTCTAAAAAGGGGACTGTTAGCTATATAATTTGGATTTCGCATGCCAGGCCTCTGCAGAGATTCTGGATTCTCATCAGAAATGCCTCATAGAAAGAAAGCCTGCAGGGAAGGGCTATTTTCTTTGCTTTTGAATTTTAATAGCAGACTATTTTGTACTCTATTACCAGGCACCTGGGAAGCATCTGGATTCCCTAGAGAAAAATAACCCTGGGAGAAATGTGTTTGTGTCTTTAGTAGTCTTCTGCATTGGGGTAGCGGTCTGTAAATGTCAATACATTCTAGGAAGAGGAAGAGCAGAAATGGGGAATCACAGGGCAAAATGCCCTGTGCAGGAGTGCTTGGGCATTCTCTAACACTCCTGAGCTGGAAACCTCCAAATGGGAAGCTACGTGGGGGCAACAACAAACATCCAGTTTCTACCTCATTTTGCTGTGGGAAGTGCGGCAACCCTCCAGAGTGGATCTCTTTTTGATTCTGTGGATGATTTCAGCATTGCTCCTCGAGGCTCTGAATTACAAGGAAACCAAAGGTTGGTTTCAGTCCCACATGTGGGTGTCTACACGCAGGTGTCTACATTAGCTACGTGTTTGAGTGCTTGCTGTAGTCAGTGAGGAGCTAGCCCACGCACTCGTGGAGTCTGGAGAGCAGTTCAGCTGTGCACATGTAAATGTCCGCTCCTACATAGGCTGAATCCCTCTACAATCTCCTTTGGGTGAATTTACCAGGGGCTCTATTCAGCAGCCCAGACAGGCACGTCTAGTGAATTTTAAATGCCCTGGGATATCCTATTTGGCCTCCACTTGCTCCTCCAGAAGTGCACAATTCACCCATAGATTCTTTGCCGGACCAATCAGCCGTCTTTTAGATGTCTGAGGTACCCATGGCCTCCGTATTGCACTAAATGCTTTTTGTTTAGGCAAGGCAATGAGCCTTAGATGTCCTTTGACTGCAATGGGTGTTTGAACACTCAGCATACAGGTAGACTAAATCTGGAACTTAATCCCACCCCAAATACAGGCATGAGAGGACTCTAGGACCCACTGACCTACCTGACAATCAGAGCAGCAAGGCTGACAAGAAGGGTATGAACATATGTCTACATGTGTGGAATAGCCTGCGTAGACTGTTGTGTTTGGCACCTGCAATGAGGTTTGACTCACTTAACTTTAGCTGTCTAGAATTGGAAATCTCGTCTAAATCAGCGCCTTGGGCTTACTCTGTCATCAGTGGAGAGAGAGGTGAGATTTCCTCCCAACTATCATTCAGACAGTCACATCCCGTTCTGAGCTGTGTCCTTTCCACCATGGCCCATGGTAGCCTCTGTCTGACCTCCACGCAGTCTGTCCACACTTGTTGCCCATTAGGCCAGAAAGTCCTCTCCCATGGACTCTCATCTTAATGCGGGTCAATGAATAACAGCTCTCCTGTCAGAACGTGGCTCCAGCAAGTGAGATAGCTGCTGGTCTTCTGAAGTACCATCTCCTCTTCCTACTACCAACACCTGCAAAACAGTACAAGGCATCAATCTCCGTACGATCAGGGATATAAATACATATATTTTATTACATATAAATATAATATTGTGGTCAAATTCTGCCCTGCATCACTAACTCCCAGGAACTCCTCTGAGTGGGTCTAGCAAAGGGTAAACTTCAGTCTTTAACATTTACTAATGTGCTTCTGTCTCCACTGAAAAGCCTTATCTAATTCATCCTCATGTCCACCATGGGAGATAGGAAAGAGATACTATGGACCACGAAAGGGGGACACAAAAAGGTTAAGTGTAACGCTAGAGGCCAGCTGGAAAGTTATGTTCGGACTCAGGACTAGATCTCTAGACCACTTGACTCCAGGCCACTTCCTAATCCAACCTTGTAACTGCAAGATACTTTAACTGATGGTGGAGGAAACTGTGCACGGCTTCTGGGTTTATGCGAGTTTTGCCGCTAGTTAGAGGACTGCAGTCTCCAGGGCTGTCTAAGTACCTTTTGCCAAAATGAAATTGTAATGTGGCTTATGCAGTTTTGCTTGATTTACTTTTTGTTCCTTTGATGTGCAAGGATTTAGTGACATGCTTAGCAGTACAGTAGCATGAGAGACATTGCATAAAATCAAATCACTGCTGGGGCAGATACTTCCAGATTTAAAAGCTCAGTTGCTACCACAGACACCTAACTGCCTAACCGCAGGCTATTTCGCCTGGGAGTCAGGATCTGGGGGTACTCAGGTCCCCTTTTAACTAAAACTAAAACTAAAACCACAGTACGAGGCTTAGGAGTCATCCTTTGAACTTCAACGTGAATGCTACAGATCAGCAGTAGCAATAACTAGGTTGCATCAGTGTTTCAAAAGGTGCGCTTTCAGCTCTGATTCATCAGGAAGGGTCATCCTTCTGCCCTCCCTCTCCTCATCAGCTGTGGACATGGCCAGGGTGACGAAGATATTTGTCACCTCCAGGCTGGATTTTACCTTTCTTCACAGTTTCTAAAACAGGGTATGAAACAGATGGACAGATCCTAGCTGCTTCACATAGGAACTGCTTCTTGGTTTGGAACCCATCAAACAATACTCAAGGTCCTCTGCTGGCGATAGGTCCTTTCCTAAATACAGCAAGGCTTTCACTGCCACCCGAGCCGTGCCTCCCAGGGACAATACGGGTCCTAAAGATGAGGATGAAGCTGGAGACACCTGGGGAAAAGCATGCTCTGTTGGGAAACTGGTACCTGCATGGCTGCTTACAAAAATCCCACCTACCTACAGCTTCAGGAGCTTGAATATCTTTCTCAGTCTGTTTATTCTATTCCATCCTACCCTACCCTACCTTACCCTACTCTTTACTACTCTGCTCTACTCTACTGTACCCTACCCTACCCTGTTCCATGAAATTCAGATGGATAGACATTGGGCTGCTCTGGGCACAGAGGAAACAGCCTCTGAGCTCTTCCTTTCCAGGGATGGGATTCATCTCACCTAACTGTTGGGATTTAGTATGAGTGACTCATCTAAGCTTTCCCTTCATAGTTGACAGAGGGAGAGACAGGCTTCTCTTGACCTCTTGTAACTCCTCATAATTCCCATTTTAGACATCCACCTCGGGAAGAAAGGAATCATTTTCTGGAGTTACCTGCCTGAATAGTTTGTCACGTGGGGATCCAGTACTGCTAGCTTACTTTGACTGCCTAACATTTAGATGGCTGCAATGAACTGAGATGCATCACTGCCTCCGAACCTCCATCTCCCCCAGCAGGAACAGCTAGAGCATTACAGCTAAGAAACAATTTCTTCTTCACCCCTTCACCTAAGCTGCAGACCAACTGATCAGAAACGAAAACACTGAGTGTTTTAGTTTCCCGTCACATTGCACAATAATAGCTCTTTAAGTCTGTGATCCTGCACTGTTCAAGTCAATGGGATCAAAGGGTCATAGACTGAAAGCCTGCACTGAATTGAACACAAAGGGTTGCCGGTGTCTGTAGATTATCACTGCCTTTGACAGTTAAAATTATACTGCAGGGAAAATAAAGGCAACAATCACAATCTCTAGAAGAAACGACAAGGAAGCCTCTTCTAGTCACTGATAGTAAACTGGAAACACATTTTCTATTTTCACAGTATCTGAAACATTCAAACAGTCTTGGTATCTCCTCTGTGCTGGTTTTGACAAGGACAAAATCCTGGACCATGCCCAAAAGCTGCAGGCACTGAAAATTGCTGCTGGGGATTCAGATTTGAGAACTTTGTAATGAAAATCCTCCTTATGAAATATTGTTCCAGAATCTCCTATGAAACCATGAATAAATCACACAGCATGTCTCCTAAGGTGTCCTGGCCTTTCCTAAAAGCATAGATCATATCCTCCCTACAGAATACCTTTGCACAGTTCGCAGACCTGATTCAGTTAATCATCAACCAATATGGGTCCATGTGCTCATATAGAGCTCTTTGCAAGACCACAGCCTGAATCAGCCCACTTAATAGCGACACAGGTACAGAAATTAGCCATTTAATAGACTTATGTTTCAAAAACCCTAGCCGTTTCTTCCATGTTATCTGTACCTGGTAAAGGCATTCTTGACAACAGTCATTTATAATTAAATAATTCTTTTTAAAAATCCCCTGTTCCACCTCTTATCTAACTCTCTCAATTATCTGGCCTATATTCCACTGAGAAGAAGTAATTATTATACGTGCTAAAATCCATACATCCACCTGTCTGTCTAAAGTATTTATGTTCCTATTTAGGCACCCATTCCAGATTCCCATAGAAATTCCCCTCGCGGGAACCACCTATTCCTCGGGAGCTCGGTGGGATCCAATCTCTGTGTCTGTAGGCGTTGCACAGGTACAGGTTGCACAGGACAAGAAACAGAGGGAGGAGTTCCAGTTTCCAGCTCTGATTGCCTGCATGTGTGCATCCTGTTGAACTAACTGTGATGAAAAGTGTTCGTTTTTTGAAAGAGCAAGCCTAATTTAATCCATCAGTCTTCAAGCAGGTGTATGAGAAATTATTAAAAATAGGATGGGGAGGATGCAGGTGACCGGGCAGGAAACCACACGCAAGGTGGCAGTTTTGAGTTAGAGTGCATTTGTATATAGTTCATCAGAGAAATAAACACATAAAGAGGTGTTAGAAAACATCAGGATGACTTTTGGCACCCAGCAGGCTGTCCAAGCCATGAATGACATTGTTTTCAGTCATGCTTGGTACGGTACCACATCTGGGTTCAGCCCTGTCCCTAAGGGGTGTGATGTTGTGAGACCTCTGCTGTCACCTAGTGACAAAAGAGAAGTAGTAGCCGAAAAAAGGAAAACCTCGTGGATGAAAGAAAAGCCAGAGCAGGTTAGACAGTGGGAGGCAGAAAACCTTGTCTTGAACACCTGGAGCTTGCTAGCAGCAGCAAGGTCTCACCTGTAGCCCCCCAGTTAAGGGTTCTTTTTAGGATGTCACCCCCCTGCAGTGCAGGATTGCTCTAACTCTTCGGACATTGCCTACAGCCAAGGTATCTTGAACGGGGCACATCTCATATAGACTTCTCTGTCTGAGATTGTCATCGAAGGCACTACTGTGAGCATGCACCTAAGCTATTTTGAATGTCCACTTTAGGATGAGCTGAATTGCTCCTTCAGCTGTAAAGGGAGCCTGAACAATCAAGTCAGATGTAGACATCTCCATGCTAGCACTCTAAAGTTACATGAGACAACTGTCATCCCTTATGCAGAGCAGTTGACCAAGAGGCTGCTTCTTCCTTCATGCGGAGCAAGGAGCTCTTCCAGCCTTTTGGGGACATATCCCATACGCAGACAAGTCCTGTATGGGGACATACTGGATACAATAGAGGGCATCTTTGGCAGCTGGGAGAGACTGAGGGTAGTAGAAACTACCCAGGCAGAAGGAGGTAGAGGAAAACAAAGCATGAATACAAGAAAGGCTGATAAGCATGCATTAGAAGGTCAGAATTCAATCCCACGTGTGACCTTAGCCGTTTGTGTGATTTAGGACAAACTGCTTCACCAGTACGGCCCAGTACTAAAACACAGTCGCGGTTCCCCATAGGACGTCTGCAAAGGCGTTTGGCAGCACAAAACACCACAGTGACCCTGGGTAGGCGACCCACTCCTGCAGTAGTCAAAGATACTCCAATTTCAAAGCAATTAGGGTTTTCTCTCTCAAATAGCAACTAGTTGGCTTCCTCTCCTTACTTGTTAAGTACTGTGGGTGCACAATGGTTAGAAAAGCTTAACTTTCCTCCTGTCAACAGGGCTGAAGCAACTGAATCTGAATTTTGCCTTTGTTTGCCTTTCCCTCACAGTATGCTTGAGCTGTGCTGCCATAGTGGATACTGAACATGAAACACTATCAGCGCTGTCCCACTCTGCCGGTAATGGGCCCCTGGCTTGCTCTGTATCCCTATGAACCACTTCATTAGGTTCACAGACCTGCCAAAGGATATTTTAGAGATTTTCTTGTTAGTCTGGAAAATAAAATATTAAGCACAATCATTTCTAGTGGCAGCTTCTTTGTCCGAGAACTATCTTCATTCTTTAGAAGCCATCTATTTAAAGGTCCCAGTGCATGGGAGAGGGGTAGGTGTTCCCAGAAAAGGCACTTCTTAATGCTACCGGCAAAGTAGGGTCTACTGTTCTTTGTTTTCCAGCTAGAGTCATATATCCGAGGCACAGCCGTGCTTCGAATAAAGTATGAGAATTACAGACACTCAACGAGGCCCCAACATCTAGGGCACTGTGATAAGAGCATGAACTCGGCTTTCACAGCAGGTGATTTTTTGATCACACAATCGGGGAGAGAAACTTGACAAGAAACCCTAAAATGATGGAGAAATGCCTTCCTGCGCTCTCTGAGGTCCTGGAACTAACTCTTTGAGGATGAGTTCACGCAGGGAGCTTAACTTCAAGGGGTGTGAAGAGGAACATGAAGCTCGTCATGACCTGCCAGTGCCAGCTCACCTCAGACCATCCTGGGCATCAGCAGCACCACTGGTCCATGCAGCCCAGCAGATACCTCCTGCTGCTCAGGTAAGAAGCAGAAAATCAACCGCCATCCCGGTCTTTTCGGGAAAAGTGGGGTATTTCTGAGCAGGATTAATGGCTTTTGCATTGTCCTGCAGGAAAAGGCAAGTTCACGGGGTGAGGGCAGGCTAGGGTCTAATGTTGCCTCAGTTTACCTGTTATGCTCCTCCACTGCAAGGAGCTGCAACATCTCTTTGCTCAGGATGAGTTTTGTTATAGATGAAGGGGCAGTGCACACCGAAATCCCTCTGCGAGAGTCCACAGCACGTGCATCTCCTTGTAAGAGGCTGCAGGGACTCAGAGCACAAAATGGTTGCTGTCTGCACAAAGAAATATAAAGATGTAGTACACAGTAAACAAAGGCAACATTTCACAGCAGCGTATGGTACCGGCAACTCACCTCAGGTAAATATGCCACAGATGAATAATAAAAAGCACATAGGCTGTTTGAAGTGGAGGCTGTCATGGAAACCCTGGCAGCAAGCAGCATCTTTTAGCGGAATCGCTTAGGAGTGACAGAATAAAGGGCATCATTTCTTGGGAGGAAGCAGGATTCAGAGATTAAACGCTCCAAGTAAGCCTGAAGTTTGGGCTTGGCAGCTCTTTGACAGGCTGCTCGTCCAATCCGGGACAAATCACAGCCTTTCAGTTCCTTGCCTGCAGAGAGGATTTTCCCCCATCTCCCATGGTTCATTAGACCTCTTTGGTTAGGGTATAAGCCCTTTAGGACAGCAAATATCTCTAACTGACTCTTTTTCAATCCTGTTTTTATCCTCTCCCTGCTGAAAGACCGCAACACACGATGCTCATTTTGTTCCACGGGCTCATCGGTGCGCGGAGCGCCCTCCTCACGGCATTCAGTGTTGGGATTTACGTCTTAATTGGCATCCCCAAAACCACTCCAGAATAAGGGCAGACAACGTGATAAATGCAAGAACCTGCCCTCCCTTCAGTGCCTTTCCCATAACACTTCCCCTTCCAGGCAGCGTTAGCTGTTTTATCGCTTCCTCAAAAGGAAAGCACAGCTGAGGCCCCAAACCTCACAGCAGCAGGGCGCTGGAGATAAGGCAGGGAAAATATTTCACTCGCAAGGAAGCTGTGCTCGTCTCACAGTAGCGTCCCCATCCTCTGGAATCCAAGGCAATAATTACAGCAATTTGTAGATAATTATTCGTTAATTAAAAACAGGCTTGCTGGGTACAGTTACCAATTTCCTCTACCGGCTGCATAGGGCTGTGCAAAGAGACACTGGGGGATTGAAGATTTTGTAAAATCATCCACTTGTTCATTTCAGAAAAGGGCCCCAGTGGGTCGTCTCTTCCCTCTCTCCACATCCTGGCAGGTCTGATTCATTATCCTCAGACATCCCAGAGAAATACATGCCTCGATTCCCCTTGGAGACCTCCAATGAAGGTCACTCCTGCATCTCCCCATAGCAGCCTGCTTCCATGGCTAATTTAATGACCCATGCTCAGATTCATTTCCATCCACATTTGAACTAGTAGCTCCTCAAGGAGTCAGGACTCCAAGTGGAGGTCACAGACCTGAGAGATGCTCCCTTCCATCCCATATCTATGCTAGCAGTAAGGATCACCGCATATGAACAGCATGCAGAAGGAGTCAAAGCTGGGTGCAAACTGCAAACCACTGTCTTAAATAGTGCTGTTAAGACTGCTGTTAAGTGTTAATTCTGCCTCAGCTAGGGCAGTCTGTGGTTCCTGGCAGGGGTGTGCTGAACTGTCCAGGCAGAATTTCCATGCCAGCTATGAGAAGAAGCATGACAGGATTTCAGATGCTCCCCCTGAATACAGCACCCATGAGGAGCATGTCTCTGGGTGATGCCCTTTGCAATGAGCCCAGATTTCAAATCCTGTGAGTCCCAGAGGGCCCTGTCTCGTGCCCTGTTTATCCCATGGAGCATGCCTTCTCCTGGGCCCACCAATCATCCAGGCTGGGTGATTTACTGGGGTAGGACATACCTCCCATCCTGTCAATCCACCTAAGTTTTCCTTTGCGTGGAAACCATGAGGTGACGGAGGATGTGTCCCTAGCCTCTATCAGAGGGGAAGTTAGAGAGCAGCTATGGTGTACACCTGGGGCTCGTACGGGCCCCACAGTGCAAAAATAACCGAAGGTACAATCACACCTACATTTCTCTGTCACTCCACTGTGCCTGCAGAGCAGCAGGAGATGACGGGGGAGACATACATCAGCCTCCATGGAGCCAGCTCAGGTCTAACAGGGCTTATTAGGTCTATGCTGCACCCCAGCTGACTTCTGCACGCTCATCCAGGGTTATTTACACCATGGGAACCTGCTCCAGGATCCCGCATAGCTCCAGGACCAGGAGAAATGATTTAATCCCAGAAGTAAGAAAGTCTCATTGCACCTGATACACTGCTGGATCGAGCCAGCTCTGGGAGGTTAGTTTGGATGTCCCTTCTTTCGTGGCACGAAGGAAACAGCTCATGGAGAACTGAGAGTTGCCTGTGTGGGTTGTACACCACAGGAGAACCGGTAGCACCAGTACAAACCCTCAGGAAAAAGTAAGCCCACAGGGAAGTTTAGTAAGAAAAGAAAGTGAGCCTCCTTCTCCTGATTGCAGCGGAGCTGGTTGGAGCCACAGTGACAAGGGAGGACCCAAGGAATGAAAGTGCCTTTTGCCATCACATGTCCAGCAGCAAGTTCTTCCCTAGCCCATGTTACCAGAAGGACCCACCCCTTAGCCCTGCATCTCCACATGCTGAGGGCATCAGCTCAGAGCAAAACAGCGGTGACAATGAGAACAAATCAACGATAATGGGAGGAAGCAAATTAGACTGTCAATATCCTCTTTACGGTAATAATCTCGTGGGTTGTTAGTCACACAGGGCTGGTTTCGCCCTTCTAATTTTCTCCTGTACCTACACTTTCGTGTTCCTCTCATCACCTTAGTGGCTGAGTGCCTGCACCACGTACGGAGGAATCACAATTAAGCAAAGTGGCTGGGTGTCATGATATATGGGACTACGTCTCTGCTTCAACAGCACGGAAAGCTAGCAAAGAGCTAGCAGAGATTAAACACCGGGTTAATTAGTACATTTAATTAGCTCTCAGTTATTAAATCCTTTCAGACCCTTAGATAAATCGTTCCAAGCACAAAACATTCCTTAGAAATGCTCTTGTTTATTCCCTCCTCTCTCTCCAGGTGTGTGCAGGGGTGGGAAGTTTTAGCTCTCCTTCTGCATCTTCAGGCAGGAAGAGAGTCCATCTTAGCCTCAGTGGCTCAGGATCAATCCCTGAGATAATCTTTGGATTTGCAAATTTGCAAATTCATAGTTTCTCTGAGAGGGGAAGAGGCAGCACCCCACTAACACGGGCAACACTAGGAGGAAAGGGAATAGTGTTGGGAAGGAGCAGGGAGCAAGGGCTTCTCTTAACCCTGAGAGAGAGGAACAGATTCACAGAGGTTGGCCACAGACCTAGTCACCCAGCAGCGTGTCCCTTTCTGTGTCAGCTTCCTCTGAGGCTGCAGCAGACAGGCACAGGAGTCCTGCAGGGAAAAAGGGCAGAAAGAAATGGGTAGAGGCACAAACAGGAGATGAATCTATCATGCAGGCTTCAAAGCTTCCTGGTCACAGTGCCAGCCAAATTCAGGGATGGAAAAAGCTCTCCCAGGGTCCCACGAGCAGAGTCTCTCGCATCCATCCCCTTAAAAGATCTCCTTGTGGTTTTGACGTTCCTCCTCACAGGCCAGGAATACGTCTCCACTCTGAAGGCCTGGAGCAGCTTCCAGCCTGCACCTCCAAGTGCACAGTGGCACCATGCTCACCCACCGCATGTATCTGCTGAGACCCACGGGGTCCACTGAGCTTTGGAGAGCCCAGGGCAGCCCTGCCCCAGATTGTTCCTTGTTCTGCTAGGGGATTTGTTTTTGGTAGGTAAGTCCACTTTCTGAGATGACCTTGGAGACCCTTACAGCATATTTATCAGGGTTTCTTTCCTAAGGAGACAATGGAGCAAAGAGCCTTGCTCTCTGAGCAAGAAAAACACTAGTGTCCTCCATGACCTGAGGGCTCTTAAGAGAAAAGACTGTGCAGTGAAGACTGAGGACAGGTCAGACCTGGAAAACAACGCAAGTACAGTGAGCTTGGGCTGCGGGCAGGCTGGAGAACTGATTCCTATAGAGTCAGATCTATGAGCCAGGCTCTTTTTAGTTCATTGAGAAACTGGTGTTGGGGTCTAAGAAAGGGGGTTTCAGCATTTTCAGCACTGAACCCTGCTCTTCCCTAGTTATTAACAGCTGTGATGATGAGCAGGGAATCCATGTCCCCCTGATGTTTGCTGGTGACGTAGACCCTTAGGCTGAGAATTAATGGGAGCAAAGGGCTACCTTGCACTCAGCTTGCTTAAGGGAGTTTGCTTAGGAAAAGAATAATAGTAGAGGATTAAGCTGAAGGATATTCCTTACTGCACCGTGAAAGACATACCACAAGTATTTACTTAGTACTTGTTTCTGATTCTAGTAACCCTAAATGATTAGAAAGGACAAAGCAAAAGCTGGGATAAGTTCCTATTACTCAGCAAACCAACATTTAGGGAGCAAAAATGCAGTTTTCTGGAAGATATTGTTCTCTTTTTTTTTTTTTTTTCCCCCACTGTACAGTTTTAAAAGAAAGGTATTTAATCATACTTAAGCCTAACTATGAAAGTATTTGCTCCCAGGATCTACAAATTATGTCTGCAACAAAGGAATGTGGAAAAATTTGGGAAAGAAGTGGCTACTTTGAGAACCCTAATAAACCATAACCATATCCCAGAACTATATCTCGGAAGTCAGGGCTGACCTTTTCGCAGCTGATGATAGTTCTAAAATGGTTTCTCATCCCTGAAAGCCCAATCTAATATAAATTAGAATAAATTAAAAGCTACCACTGACTTTCATGGGTATTGGATTAGACTATATAAAACCCCTTGAATGCTGGAAGCCCAAGAAAATTATCATTGTAAATCTAAATTCCAGAGAAGTCTTACAGGCTTTAAAACATTGCTCTGCAGTCCCATTAAGAATGGGTTTCTACTTAGCTCATGAATAATTCACCTTTCTTTTTCTTCTGATAGACGACGAGTCCCACCACAGTGAAGCCTAAACCCAGGACAAAGCCCAGAGTTCCAGTCACCTTCTTGCCCACACCAGATCCAGAGTGTGCTTCTGTTGGAAGAGGAGTCCATAGAGTTAGGGTTCAGCGTAGACATTGCCTTCCCATAAAATATCTTTGCCAGTTTCCTGACTGTTCCCTTAGAGCTAGATGCGACCCTTCCCAAGACTTCCTGGTCTCCCCATTTTCAGTTTCTTACCCCACTCCACGGTGATGGGTACTGGTAGGCTGACATGCTCCACCTGGCACGTATAGATATCCCCTTGCTTGGGTATAATTCCCAAAGTGACCACGATCTGGAAAGACCAATCTCCATTTGGGAGGAGGTCCTCATATACAACTTTGTCTGTCTCCTCCTGCCCATTTTTGAACCACCTGATCTTGATTTCAGAGGGATAAAACCTTGTTGCAGAACAAGCCAGCTTGTTGGTATGGCCCAATGGCTCTCTTTGCACAGGAAAAATTTTCACTCTAGGCTTAACTGGAAAAAAAAAAAAAGATAAGACGAGTGAGACAGAGAACCCTGGCAAACAGGCCGCTCCTCTCCTCCTTCCCCATCCTCCTTGGGAATTTTTCCCAGTGAAAGGATCTATGGAATTCATAAGGATTTTTCCACTAAACCCCTTTGTCAATGCATCTTTCAGTCCAGACCTCCTGCCTTCAACGTGACCCTGCATTACACATCTCTCAGCCACATTTATCTTCTTTCTTTCTTCCGTCACTGAAGGATCATCAAGGAAGACGCACTCTCCTTCTACCAGAAACCTCTAGTAGGAGCATTTCTTATCTTTTCCCATCTCTGAGGGGGGTCCGTTGGTCCAAGAGTTGGTGGAAGGGGAGATGCATTTGTGAGGCTTAGGAGTACCTGCTGCAAGCCCTTCTGCGGGGCTCTTCCAAGACATTTCCTTCAGTTTCAGTCTCTTAATAAAGCTGTTACCCACTATGCTCCATGGCACTTATTTTCCCTTTGCCCCACTGAAGTCAAACCGACGTCCCACTGAGCTCCTCTGATATCCAAGGGCTGCCAGACAGGGAGTTGGCAGAAGGAGGTAGAGGTGGTCCTAGGCTGAGGAACCCAAAGCCGCCCATGCCCACTCTCCTCTTCTCCCTTCCTCAAAAGACTCACCTCTCCTGTCCATCAGCCTTTGAAACCTCCTCCGGTTATAACTGCAGTATTTCTCCCTCGAAGCCCACAGGTAGCTGAGCCACTGCATCCTGTTCCAATACTCAGCGATTGCCTGGCCCAGGTCTGTGCGGGCCACGTAGAAACCCACCTCACTGTCATAGTAGCAGATCTCCTGCTGGTCCCAGATGAACCTGTCCAGGTACCTCACCTGCTCGGTGCCATTTGTGTAGTGACACTCGTGTTTACGCTGCAGCAGGAAATGGCCTGGGGGGATACACATGGGACAAGGTCAGGAAGTCAGGATGGACATCGCCCTTTGCTGCAACTTCTCCTTATCCCTGCAGCCTGCCCATACCACTCTGGTTCCTTGTCTGTGCAAGGGAAATGCTGATCCCTCCGCCCGCAGCTGGGCAGGCAGAAACCTGCTTCCAGCCCCAGAATCTCTGCTCACCTGGAGGATCTCTGCAAAGAGCCACGTGGCTCCTCAGCATGATTATCATTGTTAGAGCTGCAACCCCGGAGGTCTTGAATTCAGGAATCCCCAGGGAGGCCATCATTCCTCAGCTGGGAAAAAAAGTTACAAGAGAGAGCCAGGCTGGTAACAACCATGCCTCAGCCCAAAATAGGAAGTTTTCAGCAAAGCTCTGAGTGGAGGAATTTGAGGAAGTTCATAAACGATGAGGGGATTGGACAGCCCCTAGCTAAGGACCCAGTCAGTGCCAGAACTAGGCAACATCACTGGTAACCAGGTAGGAAAGGGTTCAATTTCTGCCTTTCACTAGAATCTTTTCTGGAGGAAACCAGAATAGGGGTTTCATCAGCAGACACCACAAACACCGGCAGAGCAGAACAGTCAACAAAGCATCTCAGATATTGCTGTGCAGCTCCCTGGGCTCCATCCGTGGTGATGGCTCCTTCCTGGGACCCGGGGGTGCTCTCTGAAGACTGCAAATGCAGCCTAACCTCGTCACAGGGAGGTCAGAGCATCTCTGAGCATTGTATTTATTCACCCACCGGCCTGGGGAATGGAACCACAAAGTTGGCCCTGTCCGGAAAGCTAAGGTCAGCCTCGTCAAGTCATGTGTCTTACCTCTGACAAAAGGACAGAGTCTCCCCGTTTACCCATCCACTGGGAAATGTAAAGTTATGAGTAGAAAATTTTGCAGCACAAGGTAAAAAACAGCTTTTGTGTCTACTTCTGTTCGGTTTTTTTTCAGTGAAGGGTTCAGAAAAAAAAAAGAAGTTGGGAGAGAAAGAATGAAATATCTAAAGCAGTGGTTCGTTTAGGAAAAATCAACTTTATTTATTGGAAGAAATGTGTTTCATATTGTGTCTCATTTCACTGGAAAGTTACTGCTGTGAAACAAAGAAATACAAATTCTTTATTTTTGAGTAAAGAGAAATGCGCTTCGCTTTGGGTTACCAAGACGTCACTGAAAAAAAAGGACAGCGCCATTCAGTTCCAATGTCCCTATTCCTGTATCTGAGGCACAGCAGGATGTTGACTACCTTATGAATATATGTTTCATACAAGCACTTTAAGGACACCAAACAGCATCCACTGATACAGTGGGAAGGCTTCATAATGGGGAGTCTGCCAGCTTGAAGAATTGCACATTATCCACAGGTTAACAAGGAATAATCCGCACTACTCTTCTTCCTTTCGAGAGCACGAGTAGATGCCTTGCATGCATAGTCCTTTATTGACCCAGAAGGCACTATTCTGAGCTTCAAGTAAACGGTACAAGCTGATCTCCGAGCAATGTAGTCAAAGAGATGCTGGACTTCTGGGGACGCTCAGGACTGAATATCAGAGGTCCATAGACAACAGACACTGATGCTGAACAAGAACCCTCACTGCAAGAGGGTCATCCAAGTCAGAAAGAGCTGCTGAGATGCCACTGCTGGGAAAAACATCCTCTGGGCTCTCAGAAGAACAGACAGAAAAGATTTCCACGTGCCTAGCCTTCACGGCAAAGTTTTCCACAACAGTATCTTCAATGCACAGAAAACAGGTTAATGTCAGCAGACACCAGAGAGGTGAGAGGCTTCTTGTGGAAGAAGGGATTTGATTACTTGCTTGACACCACTCCAGCTCTGTTCCTTGCCCTTTTTAGGGTCTCTCTGCCCTTGCCCAGATCCGGGATGGTACCTCGTACACGTATACGTTGGCTTCCCCAGATCCTTCTCCTTGCTAGGCAATGCTCCATTTCTTTAATGGGTTCTCTGATGCCTTGACTTGGAAATCCTCTTTCCCAGCTGCGCTTTTTGAGTACTGAGGAAAGTCACAAGTCCAAATAATCACCATGGGAATGTTCTGGCTGTAAGGGAGCTAAAAATCTCAGAATCAGAAGGGACCAAGGACAGACTCCCTTCAAAAGCAGAAGTGCATGGAACTCTTCCTCCTCCACTTTCTAGAAAGGATGAAGAGAAGAAACAGAAAGCTGTTGAGGGTGTGGGTGCTGAGGGACTCCATGTGGAGACAGAGTCCACAGCTAAAGCATCAGGAGGAAGCACACTCAGAGGCATTTCAGAGCATTTCTGCAGCTAGGTGAAGGCTGAGCATTGCTACACGGATGGCTTCATGGGGGTGATGACCTGCAGGCAGATCACTACTTCCCTGCTCCCACTCAACAACTGACACTCCCTGTTTGGAAGCTGTTTCCCATCATTGCTCCAAGTTTTGTCCACAGACTCTCTGCCCAGCTGGGAGTAAAGGAGAATTACTATTTCTCATCATCCTTTAAAATTCCCTACCTGCAAATACCCCAACGACTGACTTCCTGCCTCCCAGCTCAGACTTACATTATTAATCTAATCCACGAATAGCACCAGTGCTCTCTGGAGAGCTGTTAGAAGAGCTCTGTTCTGCAAGGAAAGAAACAGAAAATACATTCAGACACTGCCATCTCCTTCACAGACACTCAAATTGGCTCCAAACCAGCTAGCTCGGCTACCAGAGAGGCAACAGACACATGAGCTAGCTCCAGCACTGTATGGACCCACGTGGCCCTACTGAAACAACCGGCAACAGGGGGTCATCACGGGAGCTGCTGGTCATACTATTGGCATTGCCAGTGAGGACAGCATGCAGCAGCGACAGGAGGATGGTCAGCTGTGTTGGAAACAAATAGATGAGTTTGTTGGAGAGCTCTAGGAACACAGTAACCCTTGTCTGACCCGCTGCCCTCTCTGAACACCTTGCTGGAAACGGTGCACATCAGCACACAAATGCTGTCTGTGGTCCAGGAGCCTGAAGAGCTCCCAGTAACATGGGTGAGTCAGAGCTGCGCCAGTTCCCAGGTGAGGAACTCAGCTACAGGGAGTATGGAGTGTCCTGGGGCGTACGGAGCTGTAGCCAGTGTAGAGCTGAGCTCAGAGGGGTAGAAAAGCCACCTGGGATACTGTCAGCTTGGTACTCTGCTATTAACGCTCCATCCTCATGTTCTTTCGGAGACTGATGGACCAAAGTCCTGCCCAGCCCAGTGATACCATTTGGCCTTTAGAAGAAAGGGTGCTCCACTGGATGAGAAAAGTTCAAGTCTAGTCCTAGAAATTATAGGTCAGGCTTTGCTCTGTAACCCCCTGCTCTCAAAAGACCCACAGCTGGCCATGGGGCAGGGAGTTCCAGGCATCCTTCAACAATGCTTGCTTGAAATTGGCCAACATGTCCAAAGTTATGGGGTGAGGTGAAGATTAAAAGATAAAGAGGGAACTGCATAAAACTTTTTTCCTTGAGCAACAAAGCAAAAATGCTCTAAGTGCAATAAGTTCTGCAGAATATCCCACTGCTGTTTTCCATCGTCAGCAGTCCCACACCACCTATTCTGGTCACAGGTTTTCCCATAAGTTCTTCTATCTGCCACATCTTTCTGTTGTCACCCAGCACTAACCCAGCCTTTCCTTCAGGATCTTTTGACCCTTGGCTTGGGCCAAACCCACCGCTCACATGTCAACTAGAGAGCCATTTTCCTATGAGACGTCCCAGTCCTTCAGCCAGCCTCAGCAGCAGCCTGCACGGGCCTCAGCATTTGTGTACTGAAACATCCCCTTCCCGTGCACATCGAAAGGCATTGGCTGAGGCTGTGCTTCCAGTCCAGCTCCCCCTGCCCTTTCTCCATGCCTCCCTGCGGTCCCCTGTCCTTTCTCTAAATGGTGCAACCATCTGGTTATGCCTGTGCCCCTGCTCTGCACTTCTAATTCCTCAGGAAGGCCTTTCAAGAGAGCTCAGAGCCTGAGGTCTAGCCCAAGAGCTGCAGGTGGGGATATCAGCCGGGTGGGAACAAAGAGAGAGGTGGGGAGGAAGGTCCTGGCAAGCAGCTCAGGGACTTTGAGGACAAGATGCTTTTTATCCGTATATCAAAAGCACCACGGGGAAAAGTCCAAACCAGGTATCTACAAAGAGTTTCTCTTCTCTTTCCCATGAGCCCAGCTTGTTTTCTTTAAATGAGGTCTCTGGTCAGCAATTCCTTTCTTACCTGAGACTTTGCAATGACGACGCAGGGATTTGTCTCCATATAAGCTGAGCATTTCTATTAAAGCTCCCTTACAGCACCTCCTGGCCCCAGGGCATCTCACCACTACTCAGGAGGGGAAGGAGAGGGGCACAGCGAGGCTGAGGGTGAAACCCTTTCACCCAGCATACTCCTAGGAACGGTGCCCGGAGATGGACTAGCCTCTGACCAAATGACTAGCAACACCAGAGACAGGTTTAGCTGCTGCCTTTCAGCAGAATAATTGTACAAAAGAGAGAAAACTCACAGACCAGGCAACCACCAGACAAAAGGGAAGCACATGCAAAGCAGAGCAGGTAGCAAAAGTCTGAGCTGCATGGGGAAGCCACACTGATTTTATCCTTTTTTAACTCTCAGCTTCTTGAAGACTGCTTTTCATCCCACAACTCAGAGTAGCTGGAAGAGGCAGATGGTCAGGAGGTGAAAAAATATAAAGGAGAAAGGTCTTGCCCCCAAAACAGGACTCGCAGAGCAGAACTGAGTCCCGCTTCCCACTGCTTATCAATTCTTTTATCGCAGCGCGTAGGAAAGCAAGCCCTGACATGGGGCTTATCACCCAAGAGAGCACCGATGCGATAAAAGGGGATCCAGAAGGAGAGGGGAGCGGGAGAATGGCGCACGCATGGCAGGGCATCTTCGAAATGCTCTGCCGGCCGGGGATGCGGCCTCAGCCCGGGTCGTCCCAAAGCCGTGCGGTCACCAAGAGGAGCAGCCCTCTCCCTTTTGGCCCGTGCCAGCGTTCCCGTGTGAGGGGCCTCCAGGCCGGCCTGCCTGAAAACTCAATTTTATTCGTTCTTCCCCCAAGGGTGAGGCTACAGCCAGACTGGTCCTCGACGCCCTCGTGCAGAGGGGCGGTGGGAACGGGCCGACGGGCCGAGGGTCCTCGGGTTGAGGACGTGGCAATGGCGCTGCCGAGCCCCGGGGTGAGCGACGGGATCCCTTGTGCTGCCATGGGGATCCCTCTCCCTGGCCATGGGGATCCCTTGACCCTGCTGTGGGGATCCTTTGTCTTCCATGGGGATCCCTGGTCTTCCATGGGGATCCCTTCCCCCTGCCGTGGGGATCCTTTGTCTTCCATGGGGATCC